TCTCCTTTTTATAGGGTGTATCTATTTTTAGATTCCGGGATTAACTGGGTGAATTGGTCTTCTTGACCCTAGGGGTTTGATGTATCATGGTAGGACTAGGCATGATGTAACACACCGAAGAACTCACACAGACCATCCAATATTCTCGATTAGAATCGTGTAAAGCTAACATGACCACACTGGTGATGATGAGGGAAATACAAATGAATAATTGTGCAAAATACACAATTTCTTCTCGAGGAATATTCTCTCCACAACATTTCCAATGAGGTGTTATTTGATGAGATCCGTTTGGGGAATCCATGAATCGAAACTAGGGGGATATCCTTTCCACCGGACTTTGACTTCTTGAATGATTTTCTTCCCGACTCGTCGCTTTTTATACCCCAAGATTTCCTCTACTTCGTACACGTCGTCTTTTTTAATGATCTGTTGTAATTCTTTCTCGTAAAAAGTCCCTTCTAATTCCTCTTGGTTATAATCTTGTACTCGATACACGTAAGGATACCGACCGGGGACTCGTCGAGCAATGGTAAATATTTCCGTGGTCCAGTTCGGTAAATATCCTTTTTCAAAAGTGCGTTTAGCTTTACTGATGCGCACTTTATCTCCTGTTTTAAACTTGGGGGGTTTTTTGGTTTTAGGTGATGATTCTTCCCCATATAAAGTTTTCCAGACTTTTAACACATTCGAGGGCTTCACTTGAGCTGGGGTTCTTTGGATACTGCGATGATAGGTATGATTGTAAGCATACACTAAATCCGGTAAGATCTCTAAATACCGTCTGGTTTTATTCCGAGTGAAATATCGCCACATGCGTGCTTTGAGGGTTCTCTGAAATCGTTCCACGATACTGGCTTTGGTGTCCGTATTGCGAGTGGTAAAGAAATGAATGGATTTAAACGCCTGTAAGAATTCTCGATTGGTAAATTCTTTGCCTTGATCCGATTGAATGCGGACGGGACGTCGACCGTCTTGTCGGAAAATCTCTTGTAATCCTCGAATCATTTCTTTCCCCGTTTTCTGTTTTAAAGGCACCACCCATGCATATTTAGATAAGACGTCAATGGCACACAATAAAAAGGTATAACCGTCATTATGTTTCTTTAAACTGGACACATCCGCTAAATCTAATTGCCATTGTTCGTCTATATCCGTCACTCTGGTCTGTTGTCTCCGGAATTTTCTATGAATGGGTTTATGTAAGGTATAGGTATCTTGCTCTTTTAACCATTCTCTTATGGTGTTCAAAGAAATCTTATGCCCCAGACTTTTGACCTGACGATACAAAGTCTGTATGCCTCCATACCCTCTCTTAGGATCGTAATAAATCTCTGTTAAAATGTCTTCTACTCCCTTCTTCTTCTTCTTCTTCATTTCTTAGGCAATGATAGCCAATTTTCGTCGATTTGTTCTAATTTCTTCTTCTTGGGCTTTTAATTGCTTTTGGGCTCGATAGGGACTATATTTAGGTGTGAATTTTTTTAACACCCTTGATCTTGCCTCTACAGGTCGACTAATAGGGGTCAAAAAAGAAGAGGAAGCATCCTGAAATCCGCTCTCTTCCTCTTCGTCGTCGTCGTCGTCACTCAAAGCCCCTTTAGGAGTACTGATTTTTCCTGGTTTCTGCATGGCTTTTATAAGGTCTCGATTTTGCAAGTAAGTCATGGGAGTACGGGTCTCTTTTAAAGCTTGAGCAAATTCATTTAATCCTTTAGGCACCGGACGATTTTTCAAGGATCTGGTTCTCATGTTTTCGGCCATTATATCCACAATGTTAGAATCGGGTACTTTTTGACCTCGATAACTGATTTCTCCGTCTTTATCCCAAGTCAAGACGTTGGTTTTCTTTAAATGATTTAATAATAATTCAGCTTTTCTTTGCATGGGTTTATTCACACTTTGAATGATTTGTTGATCGATCTCGGGATCTGAGGCTGCTAGTGGTGGTGCTGCTACTGCTGGAGCTGCTGCTGCTGCTGCGGGGGCTGGGGCTGCTGGTGCTGCTGGGGCTAAGGGTGCAGGGGTTTTTTTGGTAGTCGTTGGCTCTCTCGCTTGTTGTAAATAATTCCTATACCGATGAAGTTCTTGACCGTATAAAGCCACTTTTTCTTCTGGAGTTAAATCTTCACGTCTGGTAATCTGGTCCAATTCTTGACCTATACTCAGAGTAGATTGAAATTCCGGAGGTTTGGGGAGTTTACCTTTGAGTTCATTCAACAGAACTTCAGGTACTAACACCATTTTACGACTCATTTTTGTATCTTGTTGTTCCTCTTCTTTTTAATGGCTTTATAGACAGAATGTCCGGCATCCAACAGTAAAGGTGCTGCTGAGATTAAAAGGGGTAAAATACCTCCTCCTTTTTGTTGTACTAATAAAGCTCGTCTTTTCTGTATGGATTGGGGTCGGACCAGTCTCCTTAAGATGTGTTTCTTTGGAGCTAGTTTTCGTTTCTGAGCCGAATTGAGAGGTAACACCCCTTTTAATAGGTTGTAGACGATCTCACAAATTTTCAGAATACAATCTCCAGAACAATGTTTTAAAATCCCCGTTTTTAAAGACGAGGAATAGTGAGGGTCCGATAACACTCTTAAAAGAGGGGCATGCGCTCTTAATCGCGTACAACATCCCTTTTTCTTCTTGGCCATCTTTGAAAACAATGAAGTGAAGTCTCTCATGTCACTCCCTTTTATAGTGTCTTAAGGAGGGGCATATCCTCCGTGTTTGTCGCTCTCGTGTTTATCTCTCGCTTTCTCCCTGACATAAATTTTTCCACAATATCGACATTTATATCTCAGGCCTTTAGGTAGTTGAGGGGTGGAGGCCGTCAAGGGTTGAAAACGTGTGATTTTAGGGACATGAATGGGAACTTTAATTCCAGGGGAGGAAGAGGAGGAGGAGGGAATGCCCACATTCACTCGAGGAAACACTTCTAAATCACTGGCTCTTTGACTGCCTATGGGTCCCATAGCACGATCCATTCTCAGTTCTGCTTGTTTCTTGAGCAATTCTCCTATGGTCTTTTGTCTTTGTTCCTTAAAATACTGATTGATTTCGTTTTTTAAACTTTCGGGCATGGCTTTACGTTGAGCTAGAGTTTGAGGAGCAGATTTTTGCCTTTTCGCTGTTTTCTTGGGTGGGGCTTTTTTCTTCTTGGGAGGGGCTTTTCTCTTCTTCTTCTTTTCTCTGCTCTTTTGAGCTGCTCCTCCGACACGGACCATCCAATCCGGAAACACTCTTTGTTTCTTATTATCGACTCTTACCACTACACTCTTTAAACGACGAACCCGCCGTTTTTTAGGACTATTCCATTTAAATAAATGACGAATGATGACTCCACCTAGAAATCCAGCACCTCCGCGTTTTAAAATAGCTGTTTTTCTGTCTTCATCACTGGCCGATTGATCGGCAATGATCTTTAAATCTTGACGATGATTATTAATAAACTTTTGGGTCTGTTTATTGATAGGTAAGACCCCTTTCATTAAATTGCGAGCTCCCATGGCAAACCAATTCAATAAGGCTTTACGCCCTAATTCGATTAAATGGGCTCGCTTCGCGGGATCTCGTTCCCGCTGTAAACGTCGTAAGGTTCTCACTAATTTACTCTTGGCTGATGGAGCCATGATGAGATTGAAATGAACAATGACTCAGAAGAGTGTGAAACACTTTTATTTATACTCTTGAGGCATGTGTACAGTCAACATTTCAAACATTCGACTTCTCAATCGGTATTGGTCTGGGGTCTGGGGACTCAAGTCCACGAGAAGATATCCGTGAGGTATCTGGGTGGCTTCTTGATAAGCAGACATCAAATGAGGTAAAGCTAGCTGACGACTCAATACACTGATCTGAGATTTGTCTCTGGGATTTTTGAATAAGACTAAATAATGAGCATTCAAACTAATGGTGCGATGAGAAGCAGCTCGATCAAATAAATTCTGAGTGATGTAAATCACACTGGTATTCCGATGATGCGCTTTACGGGTAAACCAATCCACAATAGATTCGATGGCTTTTCCTCCCATCATGTCGTCAAAAATGAGTAAATGGGGCACACTCAAATTGGCTACTAATTTCTCGTCGTCTTCTGGAATATTTCGGATGAAAGATACTTTATCTTTTAAAGAAGTGTAAGCGGGTTGCCATTCCCGATAACACCAGACGATTTTTTCGGGCCTGGGGGTGATCCAGTCTAGATTGTTCACTAATGTCTTGACGAATTCTGTTTTGCCCGATTTCGAGGGTCCAGCAACCACCATGGTAAACTCGTGTTTCAATTGAAAAGAAGGGAGGGGTGTCTCCTCGGAATACATGTTGATCAATGAAGGAAAAGTTGGGTTCAGGGTCTTATTTATAGTTAACACAGAAATAGGCGTTTGGACTGTTGAATCTCGCCTCGACAGATGGGGCAAAACTGAAAGGAAGGAGCACACAAAGCACAGCAGCATACGTGTCCGCAAGGTAGAAAAACGATTTGTAATTCCTCGTCTAAACAAATGTGACATTTTCCTCGAGCCTGGACGTCTGGTTGTGGGTTCAGTAGAGGTTTGATCTCAGGTAAAGGTTTATATCCCTGTTGTTCTAAACACGTAATAAACACATTCATCACCCACCCTCGTCCCTTATACAGATTGATGTAAGAACAATTGGGGTTCCAATAAGCATGTTCTACACAAGGATCGTCCTCGGGATCCCAATTAGAAAAAGTAAATCCACAATGAAAACAGGTAGCGCTATCTTTCACTCCCCTGTAGTAAAGCCCGGCTCGAGCTAGGTCTGGTATTTTTCCTAAGAGAGGTTCTGGCCATCCCTGCTCAAAAGTAGCTTCTCTCTTTGAGAGCCGAGCATACTGGGGATAACGCATGGGTTGATCTAACAATTTCTCAGTCATGACTGAACTTTTGATTTGTATTGCCCCCCTTTTTATAGGGAAGAAGAAAAACAACAATTCAATTTTTTATTTGTAATAACAAACAAACAAACATATCAACATATCAATAACCATAAGGTAAAGTGTTATAAGAGGGTAACAATTGTCTCTTATCATATACAATTCTATACTTTTTCTCTAATGGTTTGGTCACGAGCTCATGATCACGAGTCCTCTGGATTTTGTCGGGATAAGGGACTGTGACTTCCTCTATTTCTCCTTTGAGCATTTTTTCTAAAGTCTCTAGGGACACGATCTGGGAGGTACGATGGTTGAGAGTGATTCCTTTGACTTTAAGGGTCTCGGTTCCTTTGTCCGTCCGGTAACCATAATTTTTAGGGCCTGCCGACATGAATTTGATGATGTGATCCCCGTCTAATTCGTCGGTCCATTCTCCTAAACTATTGCCCAAAGTAGGATTAAAAGCTCCTTCTATATGTTGGTAAATGATACTGTCCGTATCGAAATAAAGGACCCGATCTCCTAAAGGTTGTAAAGTCTCGTAGAGGTGTAAGCGGGCATGCGCGGTAGTAAAACAAGCCAGGACCACGTTTCCAAAGGGACATTCTTCGACGAATTCCTGTTTGTCTTGATAATTCACTAGCATCTTGTCTTCATTGGGGTTCTCTTTATTGACTAAGAGTTGCATGCCCTTGATGTCGAGAGTCGAATCTTGTAAGAGTTGTTGTAATTCCTCTTCTTCGTCCAAGTATCTGGTTTTGGGTAATAACAACCGTTGAGCAAATTTTCCCCACAGACAATTTAAAAAGAGTTTAGCAATGGTTCTTCTCACTGGATTCTTCTCGATACTGAGAATGTCCATCATGAATCCTTCTTTGTATAACACTTGTCGAATGTAATCTTGTTCTTGTTCTGAGGTCTTACAGTCGGGGGGAAATCCGGACGCTTCCTGTTTGATCTTGAGGAAGGTATCGATGTAAGATCTGAATAAATCTTGTCTGCTTTCTTTAAAATGCCATACTTCGTAGATTCGATCTAAGGTATATCCCATGTCCAGGGCTTTATGTAATTCGGTCGTCACCCAAGTACCCGTGAGACTACGTTCCTGGTCGGTGTGTGGACATCGATCTTGAGACGTAGAGTCCTGTCGTTCGGCACACGTGCGACATAAGGGAAATAATAACTTGCCTCCCGTCCGATAAGGTAATACGGGGTGATAGAGGTCTCGGGGAGGTAAGACCCGACAGTGAATGAGACCGAAATAATTTCTCACGTCCTGGAACTCGTCTGTGATGATCTCGGGATGCCCTACGGGAAAAGGCTTGTGTTTCAACACGTAAGGGTATAGGGAACAAACGTCCACGTATCTCATGTCCCCTTCCTCACAATATAATCGGGTGGCATTGGTCCGACCTCCGTACAGGGCTTCTCGAGGTTTCAAAGGATCCGGAATGTCCAGGTTTCCTACAAATTGCTGTAAATTCTCATCTTTTTGCACTTGCTGATCGAAATCGTGCTCCCAGATACTACGGACGGTATACCCCATGTCTTCTAAATCGCCAGTCCTTCTGAGGGTTTCTTCGTGTAATTGCTGGTAAGTAAATTGGGTCCGATGAGGATGAGTTTCGGTCTGTAAACTGGGATAGCAGGTGGGGCATCCGTGCCAATAGCACCCGTAAAATTCGTAGACGGTGCGAGTCGCTTCCTGGTATCCGTCGACGGTATAATTTCCGATCTGGACTTCGCCCCCGTTTCTGGCATGTTGTATGTGACATCCAGTCTGTTGACTCATCCAGGTGAGCCACCGACAGGCTTTAGCCGAATATTGTCGTGCCGGTTGATACCCGAGGTTCGGAATGATGGCTATGGTGTCTTCAGGCATGAATTGTCGACGGTAGGCTAAATTAGCAGCACTGGCAAAAGTGATGGATTCCTGGAAAGGGTCCACATTGACCAAACTCTTGAGGGTGGCTCTAAACTGTGCACAGCATCGGCGTAAAATGTCGACGTCCGAGACACAATACCCTACAAACTCTTTCTGGAAATCAAACACTTTTCCCCTCTGTTGGTCGTACCATTCAAAAAAAGCTTTTCGTCCACTGGTAGACATTTCGTCCGGTTTGTAGAAAGCTGCCGGTGGATAAGGTCCTACGTAATTCTGGTTCTGTTCCGTATTGAAAAAGTGGGGGAAATAGCCTTTCTTCAATTCGTCGAATCCGAAAGCGGAGGGCATCTTGGCTAATGCAAACGGTAAGAAACTATACGAGTCGATGAATTTCAGTCCGCATATTTCCATGTATAAGATCTTACTGCCGGTCATGATGACGTTAGGTTTCAGGCAAGAGGAATGCACCAGGTGATTCAAAATGAACTGTCCGTCGTAGCCTTTGAAGTTATGGGCGATGATAATGGCCTCGTCGTGTACTAAAGTGGAATTCTTAGTACCTGTAGTGGGTTGTAATAACCAGTCCATGAACTTCTTTAAGGTGTCTGGTCCTTGAAATAGGTGCTGACGGGGTCCCATGTGTTGACAATGAGGACAGGGTTGGTCTATGGGTAAGTGACTGCAATGTTGACAGACGCGGTGTGCCACACACAGATTAGGGATGTGAATGCCGGTTTCCTGAGTGCATTCGAAATCGAAATAGATGTAAAACTCTAAGGTCCCTTTCCCCTTCTTCTTCTTCTTGGGCTTCTGTTGTACGTAGCACTGATGATCGGTATCGACGATTTTCTTACAGATCTTACACTGTTTCTGTCCTCCGCACTTGTGATGAGGGAATAATTTCTTAGGTATCCAAGACTGACACTTCTCGCATTGTTCCATTAAATTGCAGACAGTAGTGGTGGTCTTCTTACTATGGGGTTTTAAATGATTTTCGTAGCAGGTCCTGTTCTTAAACATTCCATGGCATTCCTGGCATTTAATCTTGATCCCTTCATCGGGACAATTAGGGTGATGTCCTAAACAAAAGGTACAGCGATGAGGACATTTGGAGCGATGGTCTGTGACATCGTGTACCCCACGTCGCAATGATCACAGTAATATTGGTTCCCCGTTACTCCCGGCATGGATATGATGGCATCGTAATGATGGTCGTCTAACAATATGTTCAAACAAGTTCCGTCTCCCCAGCCTTTGAAGATGCGCTCTAAGGTGAGTTTAGTCGAAGTAGACTTGAACTGAAATATTTTCAGTCGATACTGAGGAGCTAACACCTGTTGTAATTTCGGCCACTCTAGGGCTCCACAAGCTTGAGTGATATCACACCCGGCCTGTTCCATGAGGGCTATGGCTTCTCGTTTCTGGTCTAAGTATTTATCGCCTTTCCGCATACGTGACCATTGTTTTTCCCATTCGGGGTCTGGATGTTCGGGTTTCTGACTGTGTAATCGAGTCACGACGATGGCTCTAGCTAAACAAAATTCATCATGGGGATTGACGATCCGAACGATGGCTCGTTTATTTTTCTTGAAAGTTTCTTTATCCACTTGTAGATGTTTGGTTTTCTGGCCACCACTTCCCTCGGGATACTTGACCCGAAACATATCAAATTCCATGCCCCCGTCGCCCAGTTTGAACTCCTTTCTGGATTGTTGCACGGCTTCAATCTTGTCTAAAATGACGTCCTCGTTAAAATGTTTACATTGAGTAAACTCGTACCAAATCTCTGATTCCAGAGATTTGTGGCGTATGTTCAGGCGGAGGTAATCGTTAGGATTACACTGCATTTTCGATTTGAAAGTTTGTAACATGTCTCTGAATAATCGCCGAACAAATCCTCTGTTTTCTTCCTCTGGAAACTCCTTAAAAATTACAGTGTAAAAATCCTGTTGAGCTTTAAATTTTTTAGAGTGCACCCTTTCATTCACTTTGACTCGATAATACTGGGATATGGCCTTGGGTTTGGGTGGTGAATGAATAGGTAACTTTGACCCCTCATGCGCCCTTGTCCTTTGCTGTTGCTGTCGTTGTTTTTCTAGTTGAGCTCTTCTCTGTAATAGTATGGCATTTCTTTTCCGAAGCTTTAATTCTCGCTCTTTATTTTCATCAAGAATTTGATTTGATTCTCTCTCCCGTAGTTGTCGTTGTCGTTGTTGTTGTAGTTGTTGTTGTCGTTGTTTTTCTTGTAGAGCTCTTCTCTGTAATCTTACCGCATTTCTTTTCCTAAGCTCTAATTCTCGCTCTTTATTTTCATCAAGAATTCGTTCTAATTCTCTCTCCCTTTTTTTCCATTCTAATAATCGCTGAGCATGTAACTGTTTTTCTCTAGTAGAATCCATGACCCCAATAGGAGCTGGCTCTGACTGTAGAATGAGCTGAAAGTAGGAGAAAAGCCGTATTTATACAGTGGATGACGTCACAATGCATAGGTAAGTCTATGGTATTTTTTGCACACGGCCCCCCCTTACAGATGATGCAACAGGTATATAAAGATGATGCAACAGATACAATAAGATGATGCAATAAGTATTAAAAAGATGATGCAACAAGTATCAAAAAGATGATGCAATAGATCTAAAAAGATGATGCAATAGATCTAAAAGATGATGCAATAGATCTAAAAAGATGATGCAACATATGTACTGAATTGACCCACTTATCCCCCACAGGGGCTGCACTCTGTTGACCCACCTATCCCCTCAGCCCCAAAAGTGCACTCAGTTGACCACCCCATCCAGGATGCTTATACTACTTGGGTCAAACTCCAAGGTCAAAGGGTCAAAGTTCTTGGTGTCCAATGAATGGTCTTATCACAGGGATTACATACATGTATGTGAAGTATTAAGGATACACCAAAGGTTTCCAAAGGACAGAATTCAATTTGCTTGTAATTCTTTCATTAACAAAGATAACATATTAAAATTATTTATAATATGAAAGCTTGTTAAGTTTACTTTTTAATGATCTTTATTTAAATTTTCATTTTTATCTTATTAAAAGATTATTAATATTTTAATGTAAATATTAGTGCAGTTATATTTTATAAATCAACTTTTTTGTATTCCGCCTCTCAAAGTCAAAATTTTGCCTCAATGTAGATTGAAGATTGAACTTTAAATCCGTATCTCAGATTTTTGATAAATCTTATTCAAAGTTACATCCTTTTGTCTTTCAATGTTACCAATTTATTAGCACAATTCTACATTTCCTCCAATAATTCAAGAACTGAGCAAGATATCAAAAATCTGAGATACGGTTTTGTGAACACACATTTGAGACGCATTCTGGCCAGTTTTCAGAGAAATTTGTCGATAAATAAAGCAGCTGAATCCTTTGAAATAATACCACCAACTGTCTGATCTTACTGTACAAAGCCCTATCCCTCGCCGTTCAAAAGTTATAGCCAAGGTTAAAGTTTTTTTCACAAGGACGGAAACCCCCAAGGTCAAGGTCAAAAGGTCAAGGTTGTTGTATCCAATGAAAGGTCTTTCCACAAAGAATATATATGTAAAATATAAATGTCCTGGAATTTACTGTACAAAAGATATGGCCAAATAAAAAGTTTGGAATTTTTGTGCAAATGTGGGTCAAACGCCAAGGTCAAGGTCAGAAGGTCAAATTTGATGGTACCCAAAGAAAGGTCTTGTCACAAGGAATACACGTGTGAAATATGAAAGTCATAGCTCCGCTAAATCAAAAGTTATGGGCAAGGTTAAAGTTTCTGCGGACAAACAGAGAGACAAACGGACACGACAAAAACTATATACCCCCGAAACTTTGTTTATCGGGGCATAAAATATGTAAAATGTGAAGTATGAAAACCTTAGCCCTAACCCTTCAAAAGTTATGGTCAAAGTTTGTTTTTTAAAAGAAGGTGAAACTCCAAAGTCAAAGTTCTTGATATCCAATGAAAGGGCTTGTCACAAGGATTACATATGTAAAGTATGAAAGCCCTAGCACTTACGTTTGAAAAGTTATGGCCAAAGTTAAAGTTATTAAAAAGAGCAAACTTTAAGGTCAAGGTCAAAAGGTCAAAATTGATGGTATCCACTAAAAGGTTTTACCACAAAGAATACATATGTGAAATATAAAAGTCCTAGTATCTACGATTGAAAAGTTATTGCTATAGTAAAAGTTAAAAATTTTTGTATAAAAGTGAGTCAAACTCCAAGGTCAAGGTCAAAAGGTTAAATTTGATGGTATCCAAAGAAAGGTCTTGTCACAAGGAATATACATGTGAAATATAAAAGTCATAGATCCACTTTATCAAAAGTTATGGGCAAAGTTAAAGTTTTTGTGACGGATGGACAGACAATGAGATTTTTTTTTTATTTACATGTACCTGTACAAAGGTGGACGTGAAGTACGAAAGCCCTTGCACCAGCTTTTCAAAACTCATGGCCAAAGTTAGAGTTTAATAATTTTTGTTCAAGTGGGTCAAACTCCAGGGTCAAGATCAAAAGTTCAAATTGGGACGAATGGTACCCAAAGAAAGGTTTGTCACAAGGAATAGACCTGTGAAAAATGAAAGTCATTGCCCCACCCACTACAAAGGTTATGGGCAATTTAAACTTTTTGCAGACAAGCAGATATACAGACGGACGGACAGGGCAAACACTACATACCCCCGAAATTTCGATTACGGGGGCATAAAAATGACTTATCTCAAAAGTTGTTTTTTTTTTCAAAAAAAAAAAAAAAATATCGATTATTAAAATCATAGGAAAAGATACATTTTGTTTTATACATTTATTAAAGAACCAACTACGCATTACATAAATATTCTTGAAAATTTTAAACATGGATATAATTAAACAACCTCTCCTCATTAGAATACAATGAGTTTGTGTCTGACTAATCGGAAAAAATATATTTTCTTCACAATAAAACATTGACATTTGTTTATCAACCAATAGTTTCTATAATTCAACAAGGAAGAAAAACATTTCATCAACAAATTTTCTTTGCAAAGAGAGTGCTTTTACCTCTGATCACAAAAATTTTAACAGGCACAAAAAGGTTTTATTTTTCAAACAATCAGAACATAAGTTAATGCCTTTTGCTGACAATACAACAACGAACACGTCTTTCACATGTTACTGTATGTACAAAACGTTTTGCATTATAGTAGTAAACTTTATTCACAATTTCTTAGCTTCAATGTACACATTTCTTTGTTTTAATAATGCATTTTTAGTCTGAGGAGTCTTTACATTCCAATTGAGACAAATGTCCTTCAATACTCTTTGGAGGTCATTGGCTTTAATGGCTGATGCTTTCAGGACGTT